GGAATAGTGACTCATTAAAGAAATAAAGCTAAAAAGTATTTTTTATACTTTGATCAGGTTCTGAAAGACAAGGCCTGGTTTAAGAATAATTTTTCATGTAAGAAGAGAGGGAGTATTTGTTTCTATATCATGAAATGAGTCCATCTATTCCTTCCCCTCTGTCCCTTACTAAAATCTGGAAACTAAAATGACTGTAAAAAATGAAACAGGTATTAAACACCCCCAGACAATAAAATAGAAGCAAAGGCAAAGTAAGATTTTGGGAACTGAAAAATAAATGTATCAGTGTTAACTGACTCAACAGACGAGAAATGAAGTCTCAGTGTTAGACAGAGGTTTTCACTAAAAAAACACTGGCCCCATACCTCCCTGTGAAGTGATTACTACTCCCCCTCACAATGGAAGAAATGTTATTATTAACTCCCTGAAAAGGGTGAATCAGAGGATGTCTGGAATAGGGGAATCCAGATATAAAGAGGGTACAGTATTTTACTGAAAACTGAGGAAGTCTACATTTTGAATAGTAAATTCTCTAATATACTGTCCCTCCTCCTCACCCCAAAAGAAAACTGACAAAGTACATATACTCACACAGGACAAGTCATTACAGAATTTCTCCCAGATATATATGTACATATCCTCTCTCATATACATATACTGACAATTCGGTGACCCTCAAATAAATGGTCTAGTGAATTCACACTGGAGTAAAATCCACCTGTTGAGAACCCTCAAGCATGGAGCTTAGAGAGATTTCTTCTAGCTCTTAAATTTGAGGAACAGTAAATGATCCCAAGGCATTTGAAGAAGCATCAAAATAAAAGACAGACTAAAAAAAGGGAAGAATCATTTAATGAAACAGACTATGCAGACGGGGGAAAGAAAGTTTGCTACAAGTTCTAGGCAGAAGCGCTGGTGGTGGTGGCTCATACATATAATACCAATGCTTTGGGAAGCAAACGTAGAAGGATCCTCTTGAGGACAGGAATTCAAAAACAGCCTGGGCAACATAGCAAGACCCTATCTCTACAAATTTTTTTTAATTATCTGGGCATAGTGGCACATGCCTGTAGCCCCAGATATTCTGAAAGCTGAGGTGGGAAGATGGCTTGAGCCCAGAAATTCAAGAATGTAGTGAGCTATGATTGCACCACTGCTCTCCAACCTGGACAACAGCAAGACCATGTCTCATAAAAAAAAAAAAAAAAAAGCAAGAAAAAAAAGTTATAGGCAGAGAAGGGATCACACATTCAAAAGACAAAAGCCTCCAAGAAGTCATTCTAAAAA